GTGGCTTCCAGCCAAACAAAAGACAAGCATATGAGTTGAACATTTACCTGAGGTAGATGCACTCCTTGGAGAGAACAATCATTGGAGAAAGGGCTGTTTATACACAGGGATACAGCTAAGGGGGCTATAGTGCAAGGAGGGATGGACCCAGGGAAGAGGTGACTGTTGGGAGGAATTGGGAGGGGAGCTGTTGTATTGTGGTGAATTTTGATCAATGTCATGAGACAAAGTGTATGTGAACTGCTGTATGGAAAGTGAATTTGCTTTGTGAATTTTCACCCAAATCACAATAAAAACAAAAATAAAACTATAAAAAACTACTTCAAGAAACTATGAAAGATCCATATAAATGGAAGAAAATCAAATGCTCATGGATAGGAAGATTGAACATTGTGAAAATATCAATTCTACCCAAAGCAATCTATACATTCAAAGCAATCCCAATACAGATCTCATAAAGATTCTTTAGGAATATAGAAAAACCAACCACTAATTTTATACGGAAAGGAAAGAGACCTTGGATAAGCAAACAGTATTGAAGAAGAAGTACAAAGTAGGAAGTCTCATGCTGCTGGATCTCAAAACCTACTATACAGCCACAGTAGTCAAAACTGCCTGGTATTGGCATAATGACAGGCATAATGACAGACAGATATATATGCAATTGGAATAGAATTGAGAACCCATAAATAGATCCCTTGACCTATGGTCAGCTGATCTTTGACAAAGGGCTGAAATCCATTAAATGGGGAAGAGAATGTTTGTTTAATAAATCGTATTGGGAAAACTGGATATCCGTTTGCAGAAAAAATATACTAGATCTGTACCTCACATCATATGCAAAAACTACCTCGAGATGGATCAAAAACTTAAATGTGAAACCAAAAACTATAGAGTTCCTCAAGGAAAACTTAGGGGCAAACTCTGGTGGCGTAGTGCCTAAGGCACTTGATTGCTAACCAGAAGCCTGGTGGTTCAAACTCACCAGTTACTCCTCAGAAGGAAGGTTGGGTGATCTATTTCCATAGTGATACTCCCTCGGAAACCCAAGTAGGGGTCACTATGAGTTGGGGCTGACTCGATGGCACACAACAACAATATATGGCATAAATAGTCTATCAAGCATAACCCAAAATGCACAAACAGCAGAAGAGAAAGTAGATGAATGGGACCTTCTAAAAATTAAATTTGTATGTGCTTCCAAAGACTTTTATAAAAGAGTCAAAAGAGAACCTATAGATTGGGAAAAAATTATTTGGCAATGACATATCTGACAAGGGACTTATCTCTAGAATTTATAGAAAACTTCAACACCTCAATAACAAAATGACAAATAATCCAATTAAAAAATGGGCAGGAGTTATGAATATATACTTCACCAAGGAGGATATTCAGGCAGCCAACAAGCATAAGAAGAAATGCTCACGATCATTACCCATTAGAGAGATGCAAATCAAAACAACAATAAGCTACCATCTTGTTCCAGCACTAGCAGCAAAGTTCAACAAAACAGGAAATAACAAATGCTGGTGAGGATGTGGAGAAATTGCAACTCTCATACACTGCTGGTGGTACTGTGAAATGACAACCACTGTAGAAAGCAGTATAGTGATTTCTTAAAAAGTTGGAATTGGAAATAGAATTTGACCCAGCCATTCCATTACTAGGTATATATCCTAAAGAAGTGAGAGCCATGACAAGAAGAGATATATGCACACCCATGTTCATTTCAACACTATTAACAATAGCCAAAAGATGGAAACAAACTAGGTGTCCATCAACTGAGGAATGGATAACCAAACTATGGTACATACACACAATGAAATACTGTGCAACCCTAAAGAGCAACCTAGAATCTGAAAAACATCACATAATGTGGATGAACTTGGAGGACATTTCACTGAGTGAAATAAGTCAACCACAGAAGGAAAAATATTGTATTAGTTTGTTACTCTAAAAGTCAAGGAAAGTTTTATCTGTGGAAGGAAGTTTTCTTTGTTGGTTACCAGGGCTGGGAGGGTAGGGTAAAGAACACTATTAGACAGGTAGAGATAAGTGTTGATTTGGGTGAAGAGAAGGGCAATGTACCAAACGTGAGTTATCAACATGGTGACATTCAGGAAGAGGTAGACATAGAGAGATACATGGGAGGTACAGACAACAAAGATGAACCCCTTTGCACATACAGTACTGTGTTGTCAGTGAAGGCAAACATGGGTATATGAGTGGATAGACTGGTTGGCAAGTTGAACTCTTGGGTATGTCTATAATGTGGAGAGTGTACCCAAGATCATATATAGGGTTGGCAGACAATGGTCCTATAAGTTTATGTGTATGATTTGAGTTCCTAGGTGTATAGTAAAGATGACAAGGGACAAAGTTGTAGTCACTTCTTGGTCATGGCCAGCTACCCAGAGGGAGAGAGTAGTTAAACCTGTGTGCTTCAGACCATAGTTACAGAGGACATCCAGCTCAATTGGCATAGTATAGTACACAAAACCTTGTTCCACCTCCTGCTTTGGTGAGGAGCTATTGGGATCTTAAAAGCTTGCAAGCAGCCAACTAGATGCAATGATGGATTTCTCCTTGTCCAGAGCAAAGAAGAATAAATAAAACCAAAGATTCATGGAAAGAATTAGCCCTCGTGACTGGTATATCATGTGATCCGCAGCCTATATGACTATGACACCAGAAGAACTAGATGGTGCCCAGCTACCACTGTCCACCACTTGGAAGGGGACCTATGTAGGAGATCCTGGATAGAGAGGAAGAACAACGTGAAACAAAACTCAAAATCATTTGGAAAAAACATAAAAAAGGGGGACCAGTTTTGCTAGTCTGATAGAACCTGGTGTAACCACTGAGACTATGGCCCCTAGCTGCCCTTCAGGTCTGAAATTGAACACCCCCCCCTTGTGGCTTCCAGCCAAACAAAAAATAGGCATAGGAGTTGAACATTTACCTGAGGTAGATACACTCCTTGGAGAGAACAATCATGGGAGAAATGAGGGCTGCTCATGCACAGGGAGACAGCTCATTGGGCATGAGCGCATAGAGGGATGGACACAGAGAAGGAGTAACTACAGGGAGGAAGTGGGAGGAGAGTTGTTGCATTGTGGAAAATTGCAATCAGTGTCATGAGACAAGGTGTATGTGAACTGCTGTATGGAATGCAAATTTGCTCTGTAAATTTTCACCCAAATCACAATTTCAAAAAAAAAGTTAACATTCATAAGGAAGAGATGAATAAATACACACATTGATTGATTGATTGGTTTTGTTGTCTGCACTGCATTGTGAATGGCACTGCCAGTTTTATTATTTACATTCATGGCCTAAATTAGATCTTGTGACTCTTTCAGGCTTGTTCTGAGTTCAGTATCCGACTACTTTGCGGCCATGTTTACAAGTGATGTTTGTGAAGCCAAGCAAGAAGAGATCAAGATGGAAGGCATTGACCCCAATGCCCTGTGGGAGCTTGTCCAATTTGCATATACAGGTACTGTAAATGAATTATAGCATACATTGTACTAACTTTTCAAGGTTAAGATTATGCAGTGATATTTTATTGTGAATTTCAACTGATTTCCTTTGAATAGTGGTTTTAGAGCTTTTAAAAATAATCATAATCCTAGCCTATATTTTCTATTTTGTGGGTTGATGGACAATGTAAAGGAGAAATATTAAGACTGATATTTCTTTTCCGTTGTCAATGAAATCACAAAGCTAGTATATATTTATACATATGCCCTATTCCCTTCCACCATGGAAATAAACTCATCAAGATAAATACAATAATTAGTCAGTGAATGAGCTTGGGAGAAGATAACAAATAATTAAGAATTTTTTTTATGTCCATATTTAGAACACTGAAAGGAAAATAGATACCAATTAATTTTCTTGTGGAAATCGTGAGTTCAAATAGTATTTTTTTTTCCTGGAATGTGTGATTTTAATTATAAAACATTAATAGCATATTTAATGGGGACTTGTCAGACTTCATTGATCAGGAAAATGACTAGTTTTGAAGCTCCTATTTTCTGATCTAATATGTTGACACTTTCTACTTTAGCACATTCAGATAATTTGGTCAATTTACCGAACATTTACTGATTGCTGTTTAATATGCAATCATTAGCTGTAGGTCCTTACTGAATAGGTTGTACCAGAATCTCACAATCCAATTGGAGAGAGACACTAGAATAAATATGATAAAAGGCCAAATGTTAAATGGGAGCTGAAAACAAAACAAAACAAAAAAATGCAAGCCCAACGCCATTAAGTTGAATCCGATTCATTATGACCCTCTAGAATAGGGTAGAACAGAGTAGAACTACCCCATAAGATTCCCAAAGCTGTAAATCTTTATGGAAGCAAACTGCCTTGACTTTCTCCCCCAGAGAGGTTGGTTAGCAGCCAAATGCTTAAATAACTATGTCACCAAAGCTCATATTGGAGTTGTTGTTATTGTTGTTGTTATGTGCCGTCGATTCGGCCCCGACTCATAGCGACCCCTCCTTGGGTTTCCGAGGCAGTATCACTACAGAAGTGGATTACCCAACCTTCCTTCTGAGGAGTGGCTGGTGGGTTTGAACCGCCAGCCTTCTGATTAGCAGTCAAGAGCTTTAGCCACTATGCTACCAGAGCTCCTTCAAATTAGAGTTATGAGGCAAAAATTCTGTTGCTCGGTGCATCTTGTTGTAGATTCATTTGAAATATTGCACTAACTTTTCAAGATTAGGAAGTGTGTTGTAACTCTCTTCCTTATAGAAAAAGAGGAGATATTATAATAAAATCTTGTGAGAGTAGTGAAGGTAGATAGCATGGGTTGCTGGTTTGTTTGCTGTAATATTTTTCAGAAATAATATGTGATTTGTATCGACTGAAACCTTGATCATAGCATGACATGAAGAAAGAATGGAAGATTAGAGCCTAATTATCAAATCAGCAGTTGCCTTGTTGAAGCCGTTACGTTTTCTCAGCACTTTTTATAACAGGAAAACAAGAGATGATATTGTAAACGATCAGCCACTGGAATCAAAAAGCTCTGGAACTGTGCTAACATTTTCATTTTGCCCAGAGACTAGTTTGCTAGCAGTAAGCTAATTCACAGTAAATTAAATCTCTTTGTAAAGGAAAATATACAATCCTCTATGTGCTGAGTGTCAAAACAGCAATGGTGATGGACAGACTGAAATATTTTCAGGCTTCTGTAATCTTTAAATAATATTTCAATTTGTCTACATGCCAAATATATATACAGTTTAGTTATATAATTTCATTTATATATATAGTTATATATATATATATAGTTATATATAAAGCTAT